CCTCGCATTTGGACGACGCCCCCGAGTGGCATTGGTTGAGAGTACCTCAAGGCGACGATTGTTACGGGGATCCAAGAGTGAGTCCGTTGTCCGAAACATGAAGGGAATCATTGTGAACATGATGTTTACTCGATAACCCGGAATTCTTTTTTTTTTCTTGGTCAACCCTTCGTCGCCGAATTTCAGGAAGCATAACAAATCGCAACTTGAGAAAATATTTAGTGACTTGATTTGCACAAGAAAGAATTTTTTCGTTTTTCAAGAGTATCCAATTGAGTGTAGAAGATTTCAGAGCATATAGTTTCATCGTGGGAATTATTTTTAGAAGTGCGTGAATATATTTTGATTGGCCTTATTTGTAATATTTTTGCGACGACGTGCGAAGATTTCAATTTGTGTTGATGCCTCCCCGTAACATATGTTTTGTGTATTCAAGATTTTGTTGTACTGTACTATTTATTTGTCTGCTGAATTTTGCAGAAGACGAGAGGGAGGGACCATCATTTGGGAGACTCTGGGGAATCGGCGTCGATTGGGACGTCGGAACGGTTGAGCCCGCCGTCGACGACGTCTCGATTGTCAGACTCGGAAGTGTCGGAGCTGGACTACGACGACCAGCATCAACACGGATCGCGGCGCCACCGACTGGAATCCGGCGGCGGTCATCTCCATCTGTCTTCCTCTTCAAGGTCTGCTTCGAAAAAAAAAATGAAAAATAAAATAAACTGAAATATTTTTGTAAAATTTCAAGAAAAGAAAATTCTCTGATCCTCTTTTTTTTTACTCAAGACGTCTCAAATATTTAATGTGATCACAATAACCACATGAAATCAACTGAATAATTTTAGTGTAACTACTGAACCACAAAAATTCTTACAAAATTCTGTGTATCAACACATGGTGTGTAATGTCAATAAAAATGAAACACTGTTGAACAAATTCAAGTGACATTTATATGACAGCAGTGAGAATCTCAGAATTCATGACTATTTAATATTAATTGTGAGGAGCCAGAATTTGAATCATAAAAATTTGGTTAATTATGTTGATGTTGCAGCAGGGATATATGACTTTCTATACTGTAAAAATTAACATATCATTTGTTTTCAAAGTTTCAACTTTTAAAAGAAGCACTACATTTTTGTAAAACAAGTTTTCAGAAGAGCCTGGAAATAGAGTGAGAAAATTTGAGATTAGTTTGAGCGACACCTACTTGTTGTTGATGGAAATCACAGTTTCAAACGACAAACTGTGTTGGTCCATCCTTAGAAAGCAGATCTGTTTTCAATTTTTATAATTAAAAAAAAATATTTACAGTCATGAACTACTAATGTCTACTAATTCTTCTGCAACACATGGAATTTTTTGGAGGATCTGCATTCATTAAAAATTAGATTAGTAACATATTTTGTTCAACAGTCTTTCCAAAAGAATCTGGAAAGCAAATGACAGGATAGAGCGACACCTACTTATGATGAATGGAACTTGTATATTAGGAAGCAATGGGAGTTGGTACATCCTCAGAAGAATGAAATTGTAGTATTTTCCTTTTTTGTACTGTACTGCGCTTCATATTTTAAAAGCTTCAAATTCATCAAATGCAAAGGCTTCTATACAGTAGTGTACATGAAATTTTCTGATTCTTAGCAAATGTCATGTTGAAGAATTTGATGAATTTGAAACTTTTCAATGCGAAATAATGAATAGAAAAATGTAATCCTTTTTTTCTGTCTCTGGTTGGATGAACTCCTATTGTCCTCAAACTCCGCGATTTCAGTTTATCATGAACAGATGTCGCTCTGAGTCTTTTCAATGTCTTTTTTGCCAACAGAAGAGGAGCGCCCATCTTTGATTAATTTAGTTTTCTTGTTTGTTTTCTTTCCTTCCTTCATCAGTCCCCCTTCGATGGAC